GCCATTCTGAAATAATCTGTATATTTTTTAATAAACAAAAAAAAATATTTTTGATAAAGAGAGAACACAAAAATGGGAAAAATTAAATCACTGCATATCTAAGTGCGTGATAACTAATACACCGCAATCAAAACTAGTTAACGCATTTTATAATGAAGAAGATAAAAATATCAGGTATAAACTGTCCAGCGGGTTTTGTGACTCAAAACTCAAAATATATTAAATATGTTGGTGTAAAATTGGCCTCCACGTAAATATGTTTGATATCCATGCTCGAATGCAGTAAAACTGTATAGGGCCCTTAATTATTAGCATTATTTTGATGGAGGTAGGTTTATACTTTATTCGTATTGAGCATAGGATAATATTTTTCCATGGATCTTATACATCGTATTAAAATAATACAATAAATATGATAATTACTTTTCGAATAGAATATTAGCAATTTAGAAGATATCGTGTTGTTTAAATATATCACGTCGGTCCATAAAAATTATTAATAAAATTGCAAAATAAAGAAAAAAATAAAGAAAAAGAAGAACTAAAATAAGATATTCATATCATTGAGGTTGGATAACTGGTAGGTGGGTGATGATTATTGATGATTGATTCCGCTTTTGCACAATACTGTTGTCCTCACGCAACAGTCGTACTTGTACATAAGGAATTATATATAAGAATTGTCGTTTGATTTTGGGGATTTTTCGTTTAGTTGAGTCACAAGTTTGTAAAACACAAAAACCACAAGAAAAGTTTTACTTTTTTGGTTGGATTAATGAAGATTCAGAATTGCATGCAACCAAGAATAGAAAACATTAAAGAGCAGCTCGAATAATGCTAGCAAAGAAATGTTCTTTTCTTTATTATATATCAATATATACAGTGCAATATATCTTTTTAATCAACGGTGAATCATGCGTGATTTCTCGGAACTCATCAATCATACTTATGTCATTTTAACTTTGTTTGGTTACCTGGTGATCAATAAATCAACTGCCCACCGTCATTCAATGACCCTAGTTCTGAACATTGAAGTAATTTTAGCTCAATATTATACTCCCTCCGTCACAAAATTATTGTTCAGTTTGGGTTCTTATTTTTTAGTGTAATTTGCACGATAAATGAAATTTCAAACTAGACAATAATTTTGGGTCGGAGAGAGTACTAGGTTTTATGTTGTACTCTCTCTGTCCCAAAATTATTGTCCAGTTTGAGATTTCACTTTTAATACAATTTAAATTAAAAATAAAAATTCAAAGTGGACAATAATTATGTGACGGAGGGAGTAGAAAAGAAGCAGGTATTTGAAAGAGTTTTATTTTCTCAAATAGACCTATTTTCTCCGTATTTTCCTAATAGCTGGGTACAGTACACATGCATGATGCATATATAGATGCCTTTCTTCTTCGAAACTCCATTTAGGCCAACCTTAGCTATAAAGTATGGTCTTTAATTCTTTATCTTTGCCAAAACCATACTCCAACTTGAGTAAGAAAAAATCTCAATGTTTCCCACAAATGATGTCAAATTTGTTCATAATTCTGCTTTGTTAAGACTTCATATCATGTAATTAAGCACCATTAAAGTTTCAACCCCACTATATAATGTCTACGTGCGCGTTGCTTTTTTCAACAAAAAAAACAACTAAACAATTAACTTTACCTAACTGGCTAATTAGCTGAGTTGAAAAAGGTCAAATTATAATTTCTCTTTACAGTCCTTTGTTTAATTTGGACGTTTTGTTACTACACTTAGTATATTGATTATTGAAAGTTGAAAATCCACAATGCAATGATGAAATTGAGTTGTACATTACGAAATTGAGCTATGGGTTGAAATAAGTGCATTTTATTATGCTTTATCTCCTTGTTATTAAGTGATATATTTTTTATTTTTATTTTTTAAATCCACCCCAGTGGATCTCACTTTTAAAGGTGGATAAAACCCCCCTTACAAACCTTGGTGAGAATTAAACCATGGTCTATTATCAGGAAAGACAGCAACCTAACCACTAGACTGTCATTCAATCCCCATTAAGTGATATATTTTCCATCTCAAAATAGGAATTCAGCTTATTATATACTTTATGTTCCAGAAATCACCAAATTTCATTAAAAAAAAAAAAAAAGGGCCGAGAACATAATCCAATTTCACTTATATGATCCTAGGCTCAAAGCCTCCTATTCTGCACAAAAAATAAAATTTGATTAAAATATCTCAAATATTTTCATAATTAAAATAGAGGTAAACTAATGTTGAGTTAAAAACAAAACAAAAACACTTGAAAATTTACGGATAATTTATAGCTGTGTGTTGATTAAGTTGACAAGGGTTAAATAGTTGTATGTTTGAAAATTGTAGACCATTTGTTTGGATGAAAAATATCATCCTTTTAATAAGATGATCTAATAAAAAGAGACAAAACGAGTAATAATATCATAATCCTGCACAAGCTTCTCTGCATTGAAATTGCGCTCTTGCTTGCATCCAAGAATAAATCATACTGTAAATGTTTCCTTAACCCTTTTGGGTGATTTTAAACGTTCAATTCTTCTGTCGGTGTGGACAAGTAACAGACTGACTACAACATTATGAAACATTAGCAAACCAAAAAGAAAGGACAAAAAGTGACACTTTACTAGGATAATAACGAACAATGTTAATTACAAATAATTGTTTAGGGACTACACTTTTTTGTTATTTTGAATTCCAAAAACTTATTTAGGGACTTCGTTTGTTGGTTTGTTCGTCTTTTTCTTTTCTGTGTTGGCCAAAGAACAACGTCTGCATGCTGCGTACAAAATATACTATAAAGTTCAACAAGAAAAAATGATGAGAAAAGGATTGATTTACTTCCCAGAATCTTCCGTAAATGTATAATAATCCAAAGCAATATCTCAAAATCCAAGTAATTAAGGGATGGAGTGGAATCGTCAACGATACAAATTTCTAATTTCTAGTCATTCGCAACTGATCATACTTTCCCCTTCACGTTTTTATTGTTCATTTTTTTTTTTAATTTTTTTTTTTACTTAAGTATAGATAATAAATAAACGATATCATTGTCACCAAAAATGTACATGGTTCAATCGGCAACTACTAGACACGTATCACCTACCTGTATTAATGTAACCGTGTTCTTGCAATTATCAGGATAAGATTTTCTTTTTAATTCTTTTTTGGGTTTCTTATCTACGAGTTTTTTATTTTATTTTAATTTTTTAGTTCTTGCTTAAATTAGTTTAGTTTACCTTTTTATGCATTGATACTCCTAACAGCCGGAAAAAATAAATTTGTGAATCATATCTACAAAGGAACGAATTTCAAGAAAGTTCTTTGTACACCAAACTTGCCGGAAAAACAATACTAATATCTCATTTAAGTGGTTGTTGTGCTTCCTGATAATATACCATGTTCGATTCCCACCAAGAATTGTAAAATAGGTTTTACCCACATTTATATGGGATTCATTAGGGTGGATTTTTTTTTTAAAGAAAATCAATACTAATATCTCATTAATTTACTAGCTCCTCTCTCTATATGTGTTATTGTTTTTTTAGACAGATCAGGTTTCATTGGTGATAAATTTTACTCCCTCCGCGTTTATCCCATAATTATTATCTAGTTTGATTTTTCATTTTTAGTTCAAATTGTACTAAAAGTGAAATTTTAAACTGGACAATAATTTTGGGACGGAAGAAGTATTATTTAAATTTGTTTAAATTGGCCACATTCAATTTTCAAAAAATCAAATGTTCCATCATTGAGGTGATTATCATTGGAATTTATTACTCCCTCCGTCCCAAAAAAATAATCCACGTTGAGTTTGCGAATTTAGTTACTAAATTCGCAAACTCAACGTGGATTATTTTTTTGGGACGGAGGGAGTATATTTCTCTTATATAATTTGTATAGTTATAAATCTTTTATTCTCATAACGTATGAGTTGATCTTACACACAAAGTGAATGTTCTTGAACCAAAAAAAAAAGAAAAAAAAGAAAAGAAAAGTGAATGTTCGAATAATGTTTGTGTCACAATAAAAGAAATATGTGTTATTCGTGATTTTTCTTTGCTTGTCACAAAGTGTTACCCCTTCTATTAAGTCAATTTAAATTCAAATGAAGGAAGGAGAAAAGCAATGTCACGAATAAATGACTTAAAATACTCCCTCCGTTCCATAATTATTGTCCAGTTTTACTAAAATGAAAGATTTTATTTTTTGTCAAACTTAACTATATTTTACCTTAAATAACCGGATATACCCTTACATAAGTAATTGTTTAACCACTAAGATTTTATGGATAATGTTTTTTACTAAGGACAAATGTGTAACTTGATCCATAAAAAATCAAATTGGACAATAATTTTAGGACAAAATTTTTTGGGCAAAGTGGACAATAATTTTGGGACGGAGGGAGTACATGTTATAGTATGTTAGTCGTTTGCTAAGGTATTGAATATTAATCATTTCGTGACATAATATCTTTCGTGATGAAGATCATCCCTCAAATTTTAAAATACAAATCACCAGTTCTTAAAAAAAAGAAAAGAACAGGATTGTAGTAATCTAGTCGAAGTTAAAACACGATGGGATATATTTGGAAACATTCGACACTAATCTTTCTCTGATTGGAAAATATTTCCGGTTTAAATGACGTAATGTTAAAAAAGTCCTAGAAAAAAATGGAAAAATAAGTAATACTCATAATTAATAACAAAGAAAAAAAAAAAAACAAAGCCCTCAATCTTCCCCGTTTCCCACATCTGTACTCCATCGGTCTCTTTGAAAAGAATTACTGCGTCTTACTTCAAATAAATTAATGCTAAGATATACAGAGAGAAGCAAACCTCAACTCTAATAAGACTACAAACATCTGCTCAGAAATCTGACCGGAGAATTTTTGTTTGATTTTGCCGGCACTGATTCAGCTCATTGATTTTTCGTTCTTGCTGATCTCTCCCCCAGATTCCTTTTATTGGGTTTCTGGATGTGAAAAAATGAAGAAGCTGAGGAACTATTACAGTAATCTCCGGCATCCACAAACTGTGGAACGGAAATGGATCTTCCCGCTTGCTATTGGCTCCATAGTTTCTCTGTTTATTCTCTTCTTAACCACCTTGACGTCGCCGGACGGCACCCCACTTGTCCCTTTGTATCGCTACTACACCTCCGCTTCCTCCGCCTCCATCTTCGTCGAATCCAAGCTCCGACCCATCCCCATTTCCGCCCTCCCTCCGCCGCCCCGGTTCGCTTACCTCATATCCGGCTCCGCCGGCGATGGGAACATGCTCAAGCGTACTCTTCAGGCCCTGTATCACCCCAACAACCAGTACGTTGTCCACCTCGATGCCGAGTCCTCGCCGGAGGAGCGTCTCGATTTGCACAATTTCGTCCGGAATCATCCCGTCTTCCTGAAATTCAGGAATGTGAGGATGATTACCAAGGCTAATTTGGTCACCTACCGTGGGCCCACCATGGTTGCTAACACCCTTCACGCCGCCTCAATTTTGTTGAAGGAGGGTGGTGATTGGGATTGGTTTATCAATCTTAGCGCCTCTGATTATCCCCTTGTCACTCAAGATGGTAATTTATGGAACTGCTTTTGGTTTTTGTTTCAGTGGGCTTTTTTCTTTATGGGACATTTGATTTTTGAGTTTTTCACTGATCAATTTTGTTTGATTGGATAGATCTACTTCACGTATTCTCGTACTTGCCGCGGGATCTTAATTTCATTGACCACACCAGTAACATTGGCTGGAAAGAGTGAGTAGTTTCTTTTTTGAAGATCTCGGCTACTTTTCCTTTTTGTTTTCAGTTTGTGATTCTATATTCCGGGATATTGATTTTGTGATCTTGATTTTTTTTAGGTTTCAGAGAGCTAAACCTATAATTATTGACCCCGGGTTGTACATGACCCAGAAGGCTGATGTTTTCTGGATTACGCAGAGGAGAAGTGTGCCGACAGCTTTTAAGCTCTTCACAGGTGTGCTTTGGCACTGTTTTACTGGTTCATTGCCACCTCAAAGTTTTCTTCTCTGGTTTGACAGTTTATTTGCATGCTTATTGCTGGTCTATTTTGAGTTAATATCATTTCCACGGCTGAATTTTATTTTTGATTCTATGTCACTGTATTTTTTCATTTCTTAGGGAAAGTTCTTGCTTCTGTTAGGCATAGTTTGATTTAGCTCGAGCTCATAAAGTGGAAGCCTGATATCTGGTATCCTTTCTCCTGTTCTGTCTTTGTGATAACCAACACCGCAGTCATTTTTCATTTTAGGAAGAAAAGCTGTTGTCCAATTACGGGGTTATATGTAATATCTTCTGATTTTTTTGGTGGATTTTATGGCAATGTTTATCCTGCTTAATTCCAAAAGAACGGTTGTTGAAATTGTTTCTTGCCTGAGAAAGGGTATCAGGCAGATGTGTTGGTCCTCATTTCACATTGTTTTTGGTGTTTGGGATGGGGGGCACAGGGGAAATGTATGTTGAGCCTTCACTGGCTGAAAATATATGCCTTGTGTTGACAAGAAAAGTTTCACATAGTTTATGATAAATTTTGTGTTCATTTCTGTAGGATTTCAACAATCTAGGGTTTTCAGCTATTCAATTTCAACTTTAAACAACCCTTATGAGTCCCATGCCTGAACATCCTTTAGAGCGGGTAACTAGTTTTCTGTAATAATTTATGGAGCTGTAATGCTGAACAGGTCATTTAACTTGTTTATTATCTGGATAACGGCAATAAAGTAACAGTTCAATTGCTCTTGAGTGTTTTTGAGTCACATAATAGTCAGCCAAACTTTTTGACAACAACGGACATTATAAGGCATACGTTAAATAAGTATATCAAATCTTAGAGGATGATCTGTGAGCTAATTTGTTAAATGTGTTGTGTATGCATTGCCGATCCCACATAGTGAGATGAAGGCTGCTTGTTGCTAATGTGTGTTGTTATATATGCACTCTAAGATGTACTTTCCAAGTTGATGCATTGTCTTTATGTATGGCTAGGTATGGCTTTCCCCAACGCGCTGCATTTCTTACTTTGTGTCTCGTGTTACAGGATCTGCCTGGATGGCACTCTCTCGTCCATTTATTGACTTCTGCATATGGGGATGGGACAACTTACCAAGAACAGTCCTCATGTACTATGCTAATTTTATATCATCTCCTGAGGGGTATTTCCACACTGTCGTCTGTAATGCCCAAGAATTTCTGAATACAACTGTGAACAGTGATCTTCACTTCATATCGTGGGATAATCCTCCTAAGCAGCATCCACATTACCTCACTGTTGATGACATGCAGCGGATGATTGATAGTAATGCTCCATTTGCAAGGAAGTTTCATCAAAATGATCCAGTGCTGGACAAAATCGATTCCGAACTGTTGTTTCGCGAGCAAGAAAAACTTGTGCCTGGTGGCTGGTGCATTGGCAGTGGGAAGAATGGTACAGATCCATGTTCTGTTCCTGGTAATACCACAGTGCTCAGGCCCACTGCTGGTGCAAAGAGGTTACAAAACCTCATTAGCCATCTATTATCAAATGAGAATTTCAGACCAAGGCAGTGCAAATAACCAAATTCTGTTTTTTTTTTTCTTTCCTGGCGCAATTTATCTACATTAAACTGTGGCAGCAACAGAAATAGCAAAGATTAGACAGTAGCTGTTAGTGATGGAATCAACTTCCAAGAGCTTATGCCTTGTTTAGGGCCTGGATATGACAGTTTGAGGTTACCGGAATCACTATGAATACCTTGGCTGTGGCCTTATGCCTGTCAACATATTTTCTACTGTCGTCCAGGCTACCTCCAAAGTTTGCCGTTTCTCGGTGTTTGCTAGAGTTGTAAATTGACTGGTTTCTTGTGTATTAGATTTGGCGAAATCATTGAGGTCAGAAGATGTGTAAAGTGAAAGGTCCCGACTCGTTTGTGGTGCTTCGCCTGTGTTATTGGCTACAGGTGATTCATTTTGTTAGAGATATATAGGACAGCGAGATAGCAACTTGGTTTTACATCTTGTTTCAGTTTTTGATGTATAAACTGATGACTCCAAATTCTTCAGCATTCTGGTAAAAGCCTTTCTTTTCGGGTAAGTTGATGAATGTAGGTCAATGTTTTATTAACAATATTACTTTTAGGCCATTATCTGTCTGTCTTTTTTTGTATGCAAATATAGATAACGCCATTTGGGTGAGAGCATTTCAGCGTCAGCACTGTCTTTTTATGTTTTACGCCTTCCTCGGTGTAGCAGCTTAGAGCGTAAATCTTTTTGACCTGGTCTGGATCTTCAAGAGAAATTTCGTTCACCATTCTTTAACCTAGAGACTAAAGTAAATCAACATTTTAGGTACACGAAGGAGAAACATTCAATGCTTCTTTAAAAATGACGTACCAGATATGACGAAATGCCTCTGTTTAACTTTTCAAAGTCTCCTCAGATGGTCTCTTAGCATGAAAAAGACGAAGGATCTCTTGAAAGTGGTAATACATTTTGTGTTACACATTCTATAATACATCAATTCATACATGAGACTTTGGTATACAAAATTAATAACCTTGTATTGGCATAGTAATTATCCTTAAAAATAGATTCCTCGTCAGCAATGTTGACGCGGTAAAGAGAATCAACTCTCTTCCAAGGAGAAGCTTTCATCCGAGGAATGTTTTTCCTTCTGATATTCGCGTACAACCTTTTTAGAGAAAGCCGCTAAATCACGTTGCCACAAAGAGGGAGACAAAGAATTATAGTTGCCTAGCCCCAGCTGATGTTAACCATGGTTAGTGGGTTTGTCCATTTTCTTAATTTACTCCATTTTTGTTAGCTCCATCTCTAACAAAATTGGCCATTTTCCTTTTCTTCATTTTCTAATTTATTGGTCCCCTCCAACAAAGTTCTCCTCATCTCCTGCGTTCAGTTTCTGCCCCTAGAATTTTGATACCTGCACTGAACATTGTTAGAGAGCAAAACAGCACAGCTGAAGTTAGCCCTTTCTTTTGGTATATTAATTAGGTAGTACTCCCTCTGGTCATTAATATAATATATTTTGATTTGTCCTAAGTTTCATTTGGTATGCATTTTTATTTGTCCAAAAAATCTTGAAAATATATTTTCGCATTCTCTGTGTTCTCTTGATTGTTATAAAATACTTTTAAAGTTTTTTTATTAATTAAAAATACGTACTAAGTTAAATTTAGTACAAATCAAAATGTCTTATATTGAAAACCGGAAGGAGTATCCGGTTGTGAAAACAATTGCCTTATCTAGTCCTCTGGTCTAAATTTGAGCCATGTAGGTTTTTTTTTTTTAGTAGGTAAACATTTCTCAATAATATTTTAACGGTTGCATGATCAAGACAGAAAGTAGCTCAATGCATTTACACCGATCAAAGTCAGCCATTTGAAGACCAGATTAAACTCTCTTATGGTTGACCAACAGTCAAAACGAAACCATGGCAAGATCATAGAGTCGGAATATTGACACGATGATAAGGCATTAGTGTGGAATTTGAATCCAAATGGGAAAAATGTAACAAATCAATCATTTCCCTTACCGTGAAGAAGCCAGCTAGCTAGCAGAGAAGAACTCAAGCGCAGAGACATACGACACAGATGACATATGTGCTATGGAAGATCGAGTTTTGGCGAAGTTCATGATCATCTTCTTCATTGTATCGTCATTTCATGAAGTCCATACCCACACGGGAACGACCAACAACTACCATCAACGAAGAACCTGCGTAAAACTCAGAAATTCTGATGATCAAGTACCACATAAGAACAGAGTTAGAAAACCATGTAATGCAAGAATGCATATGAAATGTTGGTTTTTAGAGAAGTTGTAAGGTCTTCTGTCACAGAGGAATGGCGCTTGCTAAAGTGAATTTATAGCTCAACAGAGACTACAAAATCACATAATGATAGCAGGTGCCATTTCTCTTGCGACAGAAGTCCTTGCACTTCTGTGTCTATATCTCTCTGCTTTTTGCTTCCCCTGTTCAATTATGCCTACAAAATAAACCAACTTCCTCCCTATTTATAGATCTCACCTTCAACTTCAACACTTTCTAGACTAGGTTATTATTTAAGAACACTAATTTAATACTTTTAAAAGAACAAAAAAAAATTTGGGTCATCATCTGTTCTCTCTTTCTTTGGAAATTTTTTAGTCCTTTTTTCCATAGATTTTCTGTTGTTCAAACGGATGAAGTATCTGTACCCACATGGAAGGGACTTATTCATGCACCTCGTTTGAATATCTAGAAGAAAGTCAGATACAACTAAGATACAACTAAGGTTAACCAAAGTAAACGGCATAATCGAAGTCCAATTATTAATTCATTTCAGAAAAAGCTTTGACTACTCTGAAGAAGAAAGCGAAATACAAGTCAATGGTCCAAACGACATTTTCTATCCTGGATTTAACAAGAATGAATGTTTTTGTGGTCATACCTGATTGGAAATTGCATTTCCCACTTGTTATTTTTGTGTGCTCGTTTCAACGATATACTCTCTCCGGTACTTAATCTCACGCATTTTGATTTGTCCTATATTTCACTTAGTACGCATTTTTAGTTGACAAAAAAATCTTAAAAATATTTCGTAACAATCAAGAGAACATAACCAATGCGAATATATATTTTTAAGATTTTTTCGTCAAATAAAAATGCATACTAGGTGAAACCTAGGACAAATCAAAATGACTTATATTATAGACCGGAGGAAGTATCATTTTATTGCAGTTAGTACAACTCCACACAATTATAGTACGTGTGGTGTGAATAAATTTACGTTATTCCACACATGTAACGTGGATACGTACAAAGAAACTGAAGTATTATAAGATCCCATTTAGGCATTTTTGCAAAAGAATACATAAATTGTCATTTACATGGTCAAATTGTGGACCAAATGCAATAAGAGAAAAGCAGGTTATGGTCCTAAAACTCTTCTGGCATGTATGACTGAGAACAAATACATAAAATTAACTAATTCATGAGTTGCGTTGTGAATTGTTTGTTTGTTTGTTGTTAATGTAGGTTATACAAAAGCAATGTGAATCTAGATTCAAATAGATTCCTAGGAATTATCACGTGTGTAACTAAGAAAAAACTTTTCTTTCTGGCTTCTTTCCTAGTACAGAACATGATTTGCATTCCTTTTGCATTCCTTTTTCTTTCTTTTTTTTTAAAAAAAAACCCAGTATGCAATTTACTTTTCCCTTTTGTAAACCCTTTTTTTTTGTGGGGGATCAAGTTTTTACAGAGCATCTGTAAATGGCAAAAATTTGATAAATTTATAAAATATTTTTTACAGATGCTACTAGAAAAACAGAATGCGAATAAACTTTAAATAAACTTTGGGAGAAAAAAAGTGAGTTTATACACTTGTTTTTAAACAATTTGAAGAGTTTGTTGTAATGTCCTCTTTGCAACATAATAACATTGGAAATGGGAAATGCAGCATAAGAAACAAGCTAATAATATTAACGTATAAATCAGTTTATGTTGAGTGCGCCAAACCCATTATTAAAATGTTGAAGGATGGATTATCTAAGGATTGAAATTTTCTTGCCAGTTGCCATCGGTTCCCGTCTTGTTTGATTGTTCTCCTCGTTCACATTTGATGTACTTTCTGCGATTTAGAAACATAATTTATGTTACAATTTGCAAAAATGTATAATTGTTAGCACAATTCACAAATTGTTAAAAATTTTCGCTTTCCACCTTATTAATTATGATGATGACAATGTCCACTTTAATTGTGACAACTTTTCATTTTGTCCAGTGCTTCAAGACTTTGTGCATTGCCTTCATTGTTTGTATCAAATGTCCAATGCTTCAAACACCTTCTCGTCTAATTGAATTTTAGTTATGTTTAAATTTCCAATTTGATATTGAATTAAATTGTTTTTCTTGCAACAAACTAATACCCGATTAATCCAGTAATCTGGATTCGAATTTCATTGTTGATCCATATACTTGTTAACCTGGTTGATATTGTGGGATGGTTCGATATCCTTAACAACAGTTAACACTGTAAACTGAAAATTCCTCTGTTGCTCAATACATGATTACAGTGAGGTGAAACAAGGTAAAATGTGGTAGTTTCTAAAATTGGAATCCGGGTCTGCTCAGGATACATGAAGTATTAATCTCATAGATCGAAATCTCTGAAGTCTGACATGTGAATTTCTTCATGATTCATCACCGCACAACCCAGATAGCCACACAAGTCTAAAGCACCAAAATAAAACTATGAATACCATTAATAATACCATAAAAGCGCACTACAGCGACGAACAATTTGTAACAAATCTGAATATTTCGGAAATGAATAAAGTATAAAAAAAAAAAAAAACAGCTCTCATCAACAAGAATATCCCATCATGGTTGTTCAGAATAGCGTATAAGCCTAATAAGGCAAATAATCACAGAGCTGCCCAACGCCAATAAAATCATTAAGTGAACAAAGTTTTTTAAAAAAAAAAACACCAAAAAATTAAACTTAAAATGAAGGAAAAGAGGATCAGAGAGTGCTTGGGTGTATCAATCACATATGATTCAGAAACACGGACCA